GTTTTGATGCCGATGGCACCTTGTTAGCCACCTGTGTTCGGTGCAATTCTTGCACGTGCGCCCGCTCTGCTCACGAAGACTTGGGGCACGGGGTCTACACAACGGCGTGGAGTAGGAGCATGCCTTCATTTTGAGTTGGGCATAGGTTCGCAATCTTCAGGGTCTGGGGCCGCTGTAGGGGTTGAGGGTTCAGTGATTCAGGGCTCAGGGTCTCAGACTTCCGAAGAAAGCAAACACCGATTCAGGTGGCTGCGGAAAATGACGACAGCGCTCAGGCGCCTGCAGGGAGGAGGGGGTGCAAGTGTCCAGACATGTCCAGACGAAGTAGTCAGATGTCCAGTCCATTACAAATCTAGACAGACTTAGACCCACAGGCCCTAAGGTGATAGTGCTCCTTGCCCAAGCAAGAACTGTCATGTCGCACACATGCAAGGCCAGTCCCATCAAGAGAAAGCTGGACGTCACCCAGCCAAGACCCCAGGCAACTTATGCATGTTGACGCGATGGACAAATTTCAAGCGCCGTGCTGGCGGCCCGAACAGCACAGGCACCACAAGCCTGGATGTACAGCGATAGATTTCCAACTCCAGCTGTGTGGTGCGCTGTCATGCGCGATCTATATCTCGTCATATAGGCAAAGATGCAGCAAGCGTCTGAAGGCGATTGTTCGCGCCCCAGCCTGGAAGTGTGTGTGCTGGGCATGGCCTTGCTTGAGCCCTGGGCCACAGATTCTACTCGATGAGCTAGGGCAGCCGCCGCCTCAGAGCAATCCAAAGCTCAAAAACCATAACCATAGCTCTGAGTAGATGTGGGCAGCGAGATGAGTCTGAGGCTCACCATGATCGGTTCCGGGGCCTGTGGAATGCTGCAACGAGGAGTGCTGTGCGGCCGTGAGGCGCGCAAACCGCAAACTCCTTGATGCTCAATGCTCATGCTTGCTGACTTGGTGGTAGGTGGCAGTGAAGCGACTTCGCGAGACCGATGAGAAGTCGCTTCAAGAACTTCAACGGGAGGTCGCAGCGCTTCGTTGCGGGGGCCTCGGAGACCTGTGACAGTTTAGGAAGATGGGAGACGTTCTGCCTTGGGCAGCTCTTCCTGACGCAAGATCATGATTAGGCAGATAAGGATGAGGAAAGCCAGCATGAAAGTTCAGGGCTGCATTGGAGCCGCGGCAAGCTTGTGCATTTTGGCACGATGCACACATGAACTGGTGGCACCAAGTGCTAGAAGCATTGGAGGGGGTAGGCCCTGCGCAACACTTATCGCGTGGCTTTATGAGTACTTACTTCTCCGCAGGGGCCACGTACCAAAGACCTAAAGGCAACACGTCGTACACGCTGGTCCAGGTTTGCGACACTCGTGCGTGGTCGCCTTTGTCGGCGAGTGAGTGTCTCAATAATGATCTTCGGAATCATGCATGTTGCCTCGCTGCCTCGAATGGCGCTGTTTGTTCAGGTGCAGGTACGGCGTCATCACAGAGCCGGGTGCCCGGTTTCCCCTTCGCAGCACATTTTGTGGCACCACCGGAGCAGATGTGCAGGTTGATGCCGAAGGGGTCACTGTCCCATCACCTGCATGAGGTGGCTTGGCGATGAATTGGTCCCAGTAGATGGTCAGACTGATGACTGAATCCACGCGCAGGCCAAAACATTGATGCCGCTGATGCTTCGGGCGAAGATCGCAGAGCAGGCCTCCAACGCACGTGTGAAAGGGAAAGTGCCATCAGGCGTGTGAGCATTAGTCCTAAGTCGGGCAGGCGTACGCAATACTCACATATCGGTCACATATAGTGCCACACATTGGCAGCATTTGCATTCTGAATTAGGCCTGTAGACATGCATATGTAGCTCCACCCGTCCGCCGTTGATTGCTGCGCATAGGCCCACGTTCGTTGCCCCTAGATCTTTGAAACTGGAGCAGCTTGTGGCAAGCTGGCAGGTGTGTCTTCAAGTAATTGTGTGATGCCCGTTTGCAACACAATGCGCTGTTGGTCTGGAGCCAGGTGTGTGCAGGCGTAGAATACCTTCATTCACATTCTCCCCGGATCGTTCATGGGGACTTGAAGCCGTGTTGCGCCCAGTTTTGCTTACTTGTCAGGGACATGCAACATGTTGTTTGTATGCGCAGCAGGTTCCAGGCAGCATGAGTTGATATATCAAAAGGGCAGGCTCGAACGTGTTGGCCCGATACTGCAGTCCAATAATTTCCGGAGGTCTCAGAGCAACAAGAAATTCGGGAGCCACTTTGGCAGTTTACTTGAACCCCCCAGAAATATTTCTTGATTAGGAGTGAGGTTTGGAGAAGGCTTCGCAGTGACTCGACTAAAATGAAAGAGGCCAGACTGGAAAGATTCATTCTGATACTCATCGGGAAGTCATCTGCGTGATTGCAGTCACTAGCCGTGCCCGGGTCCCGAAACTCATGCGAAATGGAGTGGCATCTTTCACTCATCGGACTTCGGCCGACTGTGGCGGTTCTCGCAATCCTTGTGCTGTGGCCAGAACAATCCTTTTGGATCACACGCCGTCATCCGCTGTGTATTTCTGCAGCTTGAAGGACATCTGGTAGGCTTCACCTTGAAATCAAACTTCTATGTTTCCCGAATGCGTCGCACGTGGAGACGTGGAGGGGGGTTCGCGACGTTGCGCATCCGCTCGCAACCGTCCGCAAGTAACCGAGTGAGGTCCCTATGGCCGTTCTGGCGCGTGTGATGTGGCAGGCTGAGGGGTAGCTGCTCACGGAGCGTCTCGTGGAGGCTCTGAGATGTGGTAGGGAGCTGCGCGCGAGGAGTGTTTCGGAGGATCCTAGGTGTGGCAATCTAATGTGCACGAGGCATGGCCTCGAGCATTCGGGCATGTGGCTAGCGGCTAGCTAAGCGGGAGACCCTATAGAGCAGAGAACCGGAATATCGCCACATATCCCTCGTGCTGAGCTCGAGCTGTTTGCAACAGAACATGGGCAGGTGCCTTGTGCGATTTGACCTTGCCACCTGTCGATGTTTGTGCACGAAGCTCCAGAAACAGATGCGGCTGTGTTGGTTGAGGCATGATGCGTGTAGAGGCATTTGCGCAAACAGCGTCAAATCCGTGACCAGCCAGTACGCTGACTCATTTGACGCATTGTGGTAGCCGTGCATGTTGGTTGGCGGCTGTGTATTTCATTTTCCCGGAGGCATCATCACAAGATGGGGTCTCGAAAACGAGCGCAGCAATGGCGTCAGCTGGCGCGGACTGGTTGCGTCTGTTGTCAGCTGCTGGGCTGGGCGTCCTCGCGGCCTTGTCGCTACCAAGTTTCCTGCGCTGTTTTCAGCTGGGGCATGTTGGTGCGTTGCTGCGGCCGCTGCTGGACTGCTAGACGCTGCGCTTGCATTTTGTGCAATGCGTGTCGTGTCGTGCTATGCATGCAAGGGGCTCGAAAGCTATGATGACATCGCCGTGGCTGGAATTGAGCGAAAACATCTGCTAAACTAATCCGCGCGGCTGTGTGAGACTTGCTACACATGTTGCTTTTTCGTCTGCTCTCATGTAATCTTCCCCAGCGTGGGCTTGGTGGCAAGGCTGCCCCAAAAAAAGGCGCCTGGCGCTGCGTCGACAGATCTTTCCTCCGGTGGCGATGTTCTCGCGGGGTCGCCAACCTGGGCGAAGTGGGTGCAGACCCTGAACGTGCAAAGAGGGTGCTGCCACGTCCGCGCCACAGGCGTGCTCCACAGCCATACAAGCCGCACGCAAGTTTTCGCATTGATGCTAAAGGGAACAGTGGATTTGCAGTACGTAGGGCGCCATGTGGCGTTGAAGTGTCGAATGTTCAGCGTTGGTGCATTGTGGAGTGTAGAGTGTGCAGTTCGAGGTGAGGAGTTTGGAGTGTCGAGGTACATAGATCACGTTGCTCCGGTGTCTGCGATTCAACCGGATATGCCTTGTATAATTCTTCCTTGAATTGTCCTGACATGGGCTGGACCACGATGCAGTGGTGCTTCAATAGTCTCCAACATATCCTGCTCTGGTGGCGGTTAAAACCGGGCCCAGCCAGAGGTTGCAACATCTACGTCATTAAGAGACGTGTGAGCAGACGGGCGCATGGGCATCTTGTTTTTCAGAAGGGTCTTCCAATCAGATTCATTTTGGAAGTTTGCCTTAGGGCTCCTTGTTCCAAGAAGGAGTCGAAGAGATTGGAGTAAGGTTCTTGGTTTCTTCTTGACTGCCGCGGGTTTGTCGAGTTTGTGCTCCGTGCACTGATACGAATGCTAAGGGCAAACGTCGTTCTGGACAACATGTACAATGCCAAGCTGTGCGATTTTGGGACGTCTCAGCCAGAACTTCAGACTGCTTCAGCCAGTTTGGATAAAAACTTACCGCTCCGCGCGCTGATTTGCTAAGGTTCATGGTCGACGACTTCATCGAGCCATGCGGAGGCACCCTTCCGTATTTGGCGTGGGTGGCCTATAACGTCTCTAGACGCGTTGCAGTAGGTAGGTGCTGTCCGGGGTCTCAGAGCGCAACATTTGATATTCCAAGGCCAGAAAGTGCCCCCGTGTTTCGTGGAGAGACGGTGAAGGTGACAGAGAAGGCCGCAGCTTTGTAGGTTTCGGGGCGACGTGCTGCTGGGAGAGCTTTGTGCGACTGTGTTCGCGCCATGGAGGCGGATGTGTGGTCGCTGGGCAACTGCCTTGGCTGCACCACATTGCTGTCCAGCCATTTCATTTGTTATGGTCGTATACACCACGAGGCTGCGTGCTCAATGAAGCACTCGGGGGGCCACGGCCGCATGCCGAGTGCCGAAACCCGGAGCAGCTCATCGCCAAGGCTTTATACGCGTGTTGTCGTACGGTCGTACCGGGGTCTTCCACGCAGGTGGTTGAGCGACGGCTGCCCCCAAGACTCCCAGAGTTCCTTCCGGCGCGAACGGTCGCCGCACTGGCGTGATTCCAAAAGTATTCAAAGGTCCTTCTGTTTTTGTCTTCGAGTTTAAGCACTGGCAGGTCTGCCAGTGCCTCATCGTGGATGCATTGTCCAGGGCTGGGGCCCGCACTGTCCAGGGCCTAGGAATAGAAACGCAGATCATGGGATCTGACTGCTCCATGCATCTGATTTTGGAAACGCCTGGCATTAGTATAGGTGCTTTCCGGCATCCGCCGCTGGGACTTTACAGGCGCCGGCAAGTCAAGGAAAAGCATGTTGTGTTGCAAGGTACCATTCCAAGACCATTGGTAGGCAGACTTCGGGGAGCTTCGTCGATTCGCGGGATTTTCAGCCAGGCGACGGTGCAAGGGCACTTCGGCGAGGTGCCCGGCAGCCTGGACGAAGCCGTCAAGCCCTTAGAGTTGCAAGGATTTCAGATCTTCAGAGTTTCGATATTCAGCCACGCGAAACGTAAGACTTTGAGAGCGCTCCTGAATGTGAGGTTGAAGTCATTTTCGAGCTCGACGAGTGCGAGTGGGAGGTTCCGGATCCAGGCTTTGCACCGCAAGTAGCAAAAAGAACAACAAAGCCTAAGGCCAATGTGCTCCTAATCGCATGCGATCACCGTTTCGTGGAGGGCTCAGCTCTCTGCGTTGGGCTGCAGCTGCCGGTGTGCAAGTGCCAAAATTCCCAGTCACACTCTCCAATTCGGTTTGCCTGTTGCTTGGAAGCACTTTCGGAGACATTCGCCCCTTCCTTCCCACCCGACACCACAGAAGAACACAACACAGAAGGATATGCTTTAACCACCTCGGCGTTTGCATTTGCAGGAAGACATAGCACAATGTTGCATGACTTGCCTTGTTCAGACTGACATGCAATTAGACACCGATGCTGCAGTTGCGGATCCAATAAATGTCAAAGAGCAGTAGTGGCTGGGCTTCCTCAACAAGTGGGTGGGTATTGACATGGGGCGACATGAGGACACCGCGATCTCTCCTTGGAAAATGCTGGTCTCTCAAGCTCCGCAGAGCATCATGCAGAGTTGCTGTTCCGAAGTTTCGATGAAGGTGTTGCTCCAAAGTGGGAGTTGTGTACTCTGCGATTTCGGCCAGGCCTTGCGCTGCAAAGCTCATTTGTCAGTTCCAATAGCAGACCTGCTTAAAATAAGCATTTTGGAATATCTTTGCAGGCTGTGCCATTGAAACGGCCAGATGGATCTGTGCTGCGGTGCCCTTTGTTTCTGTGTTTTTCTCTCGGCAGGGGAGGTGGCATTTGCAGTGGCGTTATCCGCACGGGGACACGCGTGGAGTGCGGTTGCTCAGGTACTTTGAAGCAGCGGGGAAGGACATGTACCGTGCCCCGGAGATGAATTCTCCAGAAGCTCAGGCCTGTTGGAGGTCCGCTGGTGGCCAGGTGTGTGTACTTGCTTTTTTGGTGCAGGTGATATGTCCGGACACCAAAGCTGGCAACCCGGCGCTGGCACCCAACCAAGTCCGCTTGTGATGTAGCTTTTGGACCAGGATTTGTCTACCATCCAGCGTCCAGCACGCGCACGCTGCACTAGACCCAGCCATCTCTTACCGGCATGACCGCGGCATTGAGCACGGGAAGGTGCAACCATGTGCAACGTGCAAGAAGATGATGTGCAGCTCTTCGGCAGAAACACAGGCAACCGCACCAGAGGCTGCAGGTTCAGCACCGCTTGCGCCACACACTACACCACGACCACAAGAGCAGGATACACTTGCAGCTACCACTGAGATTGCGCAGCCTGCAGAAAAAACGGCTGCAGGCGTGGTGCCACCCTTCACCACCGTCTGACAAGAAAGCCGTCAAGGAGTTGACAGTGCACGGTGTGGTCACACCACCAGATGAACAGCAGGAAGTTGCAAGTCATGCAGCTGCAGAAGCAACGGCGGCAGGCACACAGCCACTTTTACCACGCTCTGCCAATCAAGCCGTCCAGGGTGTCACAATGCACTGCGCGGTGACACCACCAGATGAACATCCGGAAGTTGCAAGTCATGCAGCTGCAGAAGCAACGGCGGCAGGCACAGAGCCACTTTTGCCACGCTCTGACTTACGCAAGTCTCGAACAAGCAGACACATGGAGCATGATACGGACGGCCCATGTCCCTCGAAAAAGTGCTGTAGTAGGGCGCGCGTGTGTTTCTCGTTGATATCTGCTGATGGTGAGTGCAGAAACTGTGTCGGCTTCATGAAACAACCTCCTCATCGGGATCGACGTGGCTCGAACCAGCATTGACAACTTTCAATGTTGCCGAAATTCCTGGCATCAACACCCAATCCTTGGCCCACAAATATTCGTAGTAGCCAACCCGAATCTCATGCCTTCAGGCTTGCACCACAACCCGAAAACGATCGCACGGACCAAGTACACGTATGAGCAAGCCACCAACAGCTAGATGACGTTGAATGTCAGCAGCAGGACGGGCGGAAGTGAGGGAAGTTCTCAGGTTGAGGCAGTTTGAGTTGGAAGTTGTTAGGAAGTTTCTACGTCGGAACTTTCTCAGGAGGTCTGCACCGGCTGATTGCGAACCATACGAAGGCACGGCTTCGGTCGTGTGGCGTACTACAGAAGGATGTCACTTGAATCCGAGGACACCCTGGCCTACGTTGTGGGGTAGACATTTCGCTTTTGCCATGGCTGCCTGGGGCCCTGGCAGCATGGGCTTCGGCACAAGTCGTGTTTCTCATTTGGCGAAGTGATTCTGCTGGGCTTTGAGGTCGGTTAGCGCAGTCTCCTCCTGGTTCGCATCCGCGAAGCCAGCAGGGGTGCTGCTCTCGAGCACCTCATCGGCATTTTCGCATTTCGCTCTTGCGCGCTGGACATGCTGTGCATGCTGTTGACAGGCTTGGCACTGGACCCCACGCTGACCTTGCCGATTCTGCCCTGGTCTTTGCTGTTGTCAGCCGGCGTTTCTGTGCGTCCATGCGGCATTCTGAATTGCCTTGCTCAGGGCAGGGCTTGGCCTCGTGGGTGCGTCATTCTTCGCGCTGAATCAGGCCGTCGGCTGGGTTCTGGCATGGATGTTAGAGCAAATAGAGACAAGAGCATGGTTTCAGCAGCAATCTGTGTTGCCAGACATGGCTTGGTTGTGCGAGCCCATGATAGACTCTTCAAATTCGACTGGCTTCAGTCTGTACTGGCTGAGCACATCGAATATCGCAGGCCGTTTTGATTGAGATGCTCGTTGGAACTCTCGCCACGGCTTGTCAAGCTGTGGGTGCACCATACCAATTCAGCTGAACCCGATTGCTTGTCACTGTCGCAAGGTCTCATTTCGCATGACTTCACTGTTTTGATGCCGATGGCACCTTGTTAGCCGCCTGTGTTCGGTGCAATTCTTGCACGTGCGCCCGCTCTGCTCACGAAGACTTAGGGCACGGGGTCTACACAACGGCGTGGAGTAGGAGCATACCTTCATTTTGAGTTGGGCATAGGTTCGCAATCTTCAGGGTCTGGGGCCGCTGTAGGGGTTGAGGGTTCAGTGATTCAGGGCTCAGGGTCTCAGACTTCCGAAGAAAGCAAACACCGATTCAGGTGGCTGCGGAAAATGACGACAGCGCTCAGGCGCCTGCAGGGAGGAGGGGGTGCAAGTGTCCAGACATGTCCAGACGAAGTAGTCAGATGTCCAGTCCATTACAAATCTAGACAGACTTAGACCCACAGGCCCTAAGGTGATAGTGCTCCTTGCCCAAGCAAGAACTGTCATCCGCCGCTCATATGTCGCACACATGCAAGGCCAGTCCCATCAAGAGAAAGCTGGACGTCACCCAGCCAAGACCCCAGGTAACTTATGCATGTTGACGCGATGGACAAATTTCAAGCGCCGTGCTGGCGGTCCGAACAGCACAGGCACCACAAGCCTGGATGTACAGCGATAGATTTCCAACTCCAGCTGTGTGGTGCGCTGTCATGCGCGATCTATATCTCGTCATATAGGCAAAGATGCAGCAAGCGTCAGAAGGCGATTGTTCGCGCCCCAGCCTGAAAGTGTGTGTGCTGGGCATGGCCTTGCTTGAGCCCTGGGCCACAGATTCTACTCGATGAGCTAGGGCAGACGCCGCCTCAGAGCAATCCAAAGCTCAAAAACCATAACCATAGCTCTGAGTAGATGTGGGCAGCGAGATGAGTCTGAGGCTCACCATGATCGGTTCCGGGGCCTGTGGAATGCTGCAACGAGGAGTGCTGTGCGGCCGTGAGGCGCGCAAACCGCAAACTCCTTGATGCTCAATGCTCATGCTTGCTGACTTGGTGGTAGGTGGCAGTGAAGCGACTTCGCGAGACCGATGAGAAGTCGCTTCAAGAACTTCAACGGGAGGTCGCAGCGCTTCGTTGCGGGGGCCTCGGAGACCTGTGACAGTTTAGGAAGATGGGAGACGTTCTGCCTTGGGCAGCTCTTCCTGACGCAAGATCATGATTAGGCAGATAAGGATGAGGAAAGCCAGCATGAAAGTTCAGGGCTGCATTGGAGCCGCGGCAAGCTTGTGCATTTTGGCACGTCGTACACGCTGGTCCAGGTTTGCAACACTCGTGCGTGGTCGCCTTTGTCGGCGAGTGAGTGTCTCAATACTGATCTTCGGACTTAATGTTGCCTCGCTGCCTCGGATGGCGCTGTTTGTTCAGGTGCAGGTACGGCGTCATCACAGAGCCGGGTGCCCGGTTTCCCTTTCGCAGCGCATTTAGTGGCACTATCGGAGCAGATGTGCAGGTTGATGCCGAAGGGCTCACTGTCCCATCACCTGCATGAGGTGGCTTGGCGATGAATTGGTCCCAGTAGATGGTCAGAGTGATGACTGAATCCACATGCAGGCCAAAACATTTATGCCGCTGATGCTTCGGGCGAAGATCGCAGAGCAGGCCTCTAACGCACGTGTGAAGTGAAGGGAAAGTGCCATCAGGCGTGTGAGCATTGGTTCTAAGTCGGCCCCGGCCGCCTTATGGGCAGGCGTATGCAATACTCACATATGTTGCCACACATTGGCAGCACTTGCATTCTGAATTAGGCCTGTAGACACGCATATGTAGCTCCACTCGTCCGCCGTTGATGGCTGCGCATAGGCCCACGTTCGTTCCCCCTAGATCTTTGAAACCTGGAGCAGTTTGTGGAAAGCTGGCAGGTGTGTCTTCAAGTAATTATGTGATGCCCGTTTGCAACACAGTGCGCTGTTGGTCTGGAGCCAGGTGTGCGCAGGCGTAGAATACCTTCATTCACATTCTCCCCGGATCGTTCATGGGGACTTGAAGCCGTGCTGCGCCCAGTTTTGCTTACTTGTCAGGGACATGCAACATGTTGTTTGTAAGCGCAGCAGGTTCCAGGCAGCATGAGTTGATAAATCGAAAGGGCAGGCTCGAACGTGTTGGCCCGATACTGCAGTCCAATAATTTCCGGAGGTCTCAGAGCAACAAGAAATTCGGGAGCCACTTTGGCAGTTTACTTGAACCCCCCAGAAATATTTCTTGATTAGGAGTGAGGTTTGGAGAAGGCTTCGCAGTGACTCGACTAAAATGAAAGAGGCCAGACTGGAAAGATTCATTCTGATGCTCATCGGGAAGTCATCTGCGT